CACTTTCAAGCTTTACGACCGGTGAGACTTCTGATTGTTTCTACTGCCAACAAACTAGAAGTCATGTTAAGGAATGAGGCTTCTTTAAAGTTTGTTCGATTTAAAGCGTTCCAAGACATCGAATACTATACATTTTCATTTATTCAGGAAACATAGACTGTGGATTATTATACACTTAATTATCTAAAACTCCACGTTACGTGTAATTGAAAGAAATTCGATTAGTCCTTTACTTTAATTCAAATCTTATAGAATCTTTAATATTGTGTACAAACTTCTGCTAAATTTTAGTAAAAACTTGTGTTTACATAAAAATCCACGGTTCATTGATCGAGTTCAAACTGATAATGAGAATTGTACCGTCTAATGCTTCTTTGCGTCGTTTCTCCGTCTCGGACTCGAGGACGTCGAAGATTGCTGCGCCGACGAGGAGGTAGGTGAACGTGAAGACGATCAACGATAGGGTCCGGACGTTTTGTTTCTTCATTCTCTAGTGAGCCACATGCTCACTAGCAGGGCCCCGGCCCTAACTACTTGCATCGCTCAGTGGAGTACGATTTGGTGTGCCGGGCCCATGTCGACCCCTTCCCCTTCTTGATGATGCTCGGGGGGCCCTTTCTTTCCTTACCGAGCGCTACAGACCCGGCACGCGACTCCTCTTCTTCAGGGTGTCTTCTTCCTTGCAGGCACTACCTTGTAGCCGCTTTCGTTCATCTAAATATATAGTTCACATCATCATCGACGATTAACAAATTAATTTCATCATCAGCTTTAAACCAACATATTTCGCTAACAGTTCTCAACAAAGAAATTTATGTACGAAGAAACAAACGATGTTCTATTGTACAAGAAACTGTGTTTAAAATGCTACTATCACATTCTTAACAAAACTGCTTCTATTTAAACGATACATAAAGAATGTAGATAAAAATGCAATAGATGAGAATTCACCAAGGAATACTTCTTAATTTGAAACAGTAATTTAAGTCAAGATTACGTTAGAAGTCGATGTAAATTTATAAGTTTAAGAAGAACTGAATGAACCAAACTAGAATGTTCTCACGCTCTCTAGTGTTGTCCTACTAATAAATCGAACCGTTTTCACGTGGAAGCGTAGGATCTTTTCCATGGAAGTTCGGATATGTACATTGGTTTTGAGATTCGAGGGACTACGAAGGATTTTCTTACAAACTGTGCCATGAATGTTAGTCTCGTTACGGTGTTAGGGGTTCCATAGATATAAAAGCGCATAATCGTCCTTGCTACTAAAATAGGACTCTTTTGAGAATAGTTCTTTTCTTCGTTAAGCAAGTTCAGACCGGGTGGTACTTTTCACGAGCAAAAAAATCTGCTGATATAGAAAGACTCACCTGCAGCCTGTTCCGGGTTCTCCTTTACGTACGACAAAGGGTTGAGCAGAATGATATGGCAGTGCTTTCGCTGCTCCCACTGCCACGTTCCCTCCATTCCTCAGTTTAGCGCCCAACGGTTTCAGTGCCGACTGAAATTAACAAATGGAATTTACGTAAATGACTCATCCTGGTTTTGTTAAAGATACATATTACTGGAAGAATCTGATTACTGCGCTGAAGATCGGTTCGTTTGATTTTTGTTAAAGAAATTAATTGGAGAAACGTTTTTGTAAGTTTGTGTTCATATTATTCAGAGTGTTCTATAAAGTACGCGGATCTTCGACAAATTTTATATTTCGATTTAAGGCAACAGTAATCAAACGTTATATGAGAGTGTAACCTATTTCACGCTACGAAATCCGTAATAAATCATATTTTCAAGGAATATAAATACATCACGCTAACACCTTATCACGTTAATACCGATTATTTCTTTAAATGTCAAAGAGTACGTCCTACATAGGAAATCGAGTAAAAATTGCAAGTCGGTGCACTTTTAATCTGTTCCACGTCGCCCTTCCCGGCTGCGCATCGGTGCTTTTTCTGCCCACGTCGGTACCACGATCTCTCACTTTAATGGACATCGATTAATGGCGCGAAAACTATATGTCAAAGAATCATAACATCAACATGCAGACAGTTGGAAAAGAGTAAAAATAAATGCGCCCAGATTTGTTGTAACGAGTTCATCCAAATGATTCACATTCAAATCATTTTCCGGAAACGATGACTCATCGAATTCATGATCCACTGAAAAATAAAGTAGCAGATTGTGTTACGTGATATTAAAGCAGCGGCAGGTTAAATATCGAGCGAAGTCTTGATAAAGTTCATCATGAAAGGTGAATGATATTTATACACCTGAAAGGTGATTGATATTTATACTTGCACAGTCATTGTATAAAAATAAGATATTTTAAGGATGCACATTTGATTGTAAACCTATTACAAAGAAATCGTATCGATAACACGTATCTTAAACGTCTCTTCATCTCTGAGAGATCAGGGTTAGCACTGATGGGATTCTAGGTGTCTTTTCTAGCTTGCCAAATCACTAGGGAATTATGTCACGTTTAAAGTAATCTAGCAATCTTATTACTTTTATATTTATATGTTAACAATATTTTGTTTTTATTAGTATCCTCTAGGGGTTGCTCATTTCTCCCATTAAGATGTCTCTTGGTCCATGTCTCTGTATACCTATGTCCCCTCAACTCCACCTGTCTCTAAAAAATATTCACTCAGAATCCAACGAGTATGCACTTTGAAGTAGTCATCCGACCATTGTCGATTTGCCAATGGATTTTCTCGGCTATCAACGACCTATGAATTATGCATACCCAGCATTAGGGGAAGTCCACGGTATACTCATTATTGTCGTCTCAGCCTATTAAATCTGGATTTACGCTAATGGCCGGCGCTTTGTGACGAGGACCATGTCACGTTTGTCAGTCACGAACGACCACACTTTACTTCGCGTTAGCCACGTTTATCGGTGAAAGTCACCGGCTGATGATCGCGAAGCTGCCGCTGCAACAGCAGCTGCCATTGTCACGTGTGTAGTTATATTTGTGTTTCGCGTTCGGACCTGGCGATGGTATTTCCCTGCTCGCGATCCTTCTGTATCCTTCCCAACAACGGTATTCTTGTTTTCAATCAGAGATCCTCAAGATTTCCAGTTAACTGTCGCTGGTTGGCATAGCAGGACAATATCTCGGATCCTATAATATCCCATTTAATCGATTGTAATGCTGTGTTCTCCCTTTACAGCTGCGCTGCTTGGGTCTGGCGCTGAGATTACGGACAACGGTGGATACGATTCTATGATCGTTTATTGACTAGTAGCTCTGTCTTGATCCCGACCGACGTAGTCTCCGATATTGAGGCTAGGTCTATTTACTGATAACTAATCCTGTGATGTACTGCGGATGGAAGTCTACTGATACGTACTACTGAAATATTTAGCTAAACGCACACGTAGCTCTGTACATTTCATGTTCTCATCAATTTATTACGTTACCAAAACCATTACAAACCAGTCGAGTTAATCAAACTATAGCATTGACATTCATAAGTTTCCATTTCGCCTGGATAATGAATACTACTAAAAGACTATTACACTTGAGGTTTATCTATCGATAATTTCTCTATATACTAATTAGTCAAGAGCATCGACTGCACGGATCAAAATATTTTCATATCCGGCGACATGGTAGTTAAGATCGTGACGATTCGACCACAGTGTCCCCTTAAGAGAGCGCTGCCAAAGTACTCTCGGTACCTAGAAGCCCTCGATTACACCACTCGGGGATACGATCGCGGCATTTCCAATAAGCCGACGTTGGCACTATAGTCGCTCTCCGTTCGTAAGTGGCTGTTTGTTAGTCAACTTCGAGATACCACGGTGTCAGCGAAGGGGGTGAGGCAGCGGTTCGCGCGAAGAACAGGATAATTGGCGTCGCGTCGCGCCGTTCCAGGGAGCTACTCCTTTTTCGCTGGGAACGCCGTCGGAAGTGTCTCGGTCAAGTGTTTAATTTCCTTTGACGCCGCGGCGGGACTCAATTACAATTTTTAATTACTCGAGTGTCGAGCGGTATCGAGGACCGAGCGCCGAGCCCGATACTCGGTTCCATTGTACCGCTCTTCCGTCTGGAAGTATTTACTACATACGGGGCAACGATTAACGGGGATGCATCTAGAGCAAGCAGATAAGATTGCCACGGATCTCCTCTGAGTAAAATAATTGAAACGCGGGATCCGTGTTCCAATCGTCGGTGTAATTGGTTTCGCTCTACGCCTGAATAGACGCTGGATACAGACCGCATTACAGCCGCGGTTTTAGTTGTTTTATCATATAATACCATTACCATTAGCCGTCTGTAACCGCTTTAACTTTGAGAACGAGAAGCTTTAAGCGAGATCACTTAACGCACTATCTTCGGTCGTTTGCAGTTAAGTATATTCAAGATGAAATTAGTTTTAGCGAAGATGCTGCTATCTTTAATTAAGATCGCAATTTCGAAAAGAAATTTTTGGGCGTTAATGCAGATCGCACTAGTTAGAAATTATTCATTGTCGACAATTAAGTGTCGGATATATTTTTATTCGTTTGATCGTTCTTGAATACCGAGCTTCCTCTGTCGTTTTTGTCTGTTACCCAAATAAAGTTTCTCCCGAATCTAGTTACCAGTGAAAACTACTTGTTTCTGAACGATGCTGAGTGAGACTGTAAATTCGTTAGCACATCTGAGGTCACACGCTGGCCCGGAACACCTGGATGAAACTCCTGAGGTTAATTTTGCAAGGACGATGTGTGACTGCTCGTATAATCCGGCTGTGAGCTAATTCGTTCTCTTGACGGGATTTAGCCTCCTGAATTCGAGGCTTCATAAAATTTGCAACGGGGGACGACAACCACTCGGAAACGAGACCTGTGTATTTCCACCGGCGGATTCATGCCGATCTTTCCTGCCCACCGATCTAAAATTGGCCGCCCACGAAACTCGGTTTATATTTGACGGTAGATATTGATCCGGCCAGTATTTTTGTCCTTCCCAATCTTTCTTTTTTTTCTGGAATACACCCTACCAGATGCGCTCGGTTAATGCACAAGCGTGACGCGAACGCTTCGTCGGTGTGGTTTATTAAAAACTAAATAAATGCGAAAAACGGGATGGTTCACTATAAACAAAAAAATCTCGTTATGAATATTAATAGCGAACCGATGAATGCTCGGATGACAGAACAGTCAACGGAATCATTTATGCAAAATGCAGAATATTCTGTCGGGCCATGATTCAATATGTTCTGCGGCATATATAATTTGCATATTAGAAATCACGTTCGTGGTGTACCATTTCGGTATCGGTTGGCTACGATTGAACAACTTTCAACTTATTACCGGCACAATGACGCGTTCGCCGGATATTTTGAGCTGCTGCGGGCAACTTGTTAGAGTTTCCGTCTCCGTTAAGTGATCCCCGGGGATCAGGATTGATAGTTTGTTAACATTAATGAGTCGAGTTTCGTGTCTCGCGGCTCTGAATTAGCGCAAGAACCGCGAACGAAGCGACGAATATTGCCGGTATCGTTTCCAATTCCAGCCTCCTGGATATCGCATTTTGTTAACCGATAGGAACGCTGATACAACTAGTCGCCGCCGACGCGGAGTTCAGTTTATATAATCAGAGTTTATGCTTACCGTTAAAAGCATATTCTAACGCTCGCCCACCCGCGCACCCGTACAGTCGCTCGCGCACTCAACATTGAACACGACGTAGAACCCGGGAACACCGACATTCCCAGCGCAAACTTAATTCCAAGTTTGCTTTGAGAAGGCCACCGGAAAACTAGTTTATGGGATAAACTTGGAAGTATGTTAAATGCCTGAGAATGCTCTCATTGGCCTGTAATTATCCCTTTAGTTCTGACGTTAATCTTTCATTTAAGGAATTTTAGAATGTCCCGTGACCCCCCGCCCCTCATCCACCTCCGTTGCTTAATCCTTGCTGCTCAATTTATTCGTAAACTTCTATAACTCTGTATAAAATGAACGCAGGTTTCAGGCCATTTTCATATCGCGAAACTGATTTTGAATCAGTTCCTCGTATTAGCATTATTTTCCGGTAGAAATGTTAGTCTTCTATTTTCATTAAAGATGTTATTCAATGTTTGTATTAAGTTTGATTTCTTATACTTGAATTTGTGTCAGTATTTAATTCACGCGCAGCGGGGTTTCACGGTAGCTTCGCATAATTGTTGAGGATTAATATTATTATTCGGTTAAACTGCTTGGGGAAAGTGTGCAATGAGATTTTGTATAACTTCACCGTACCGAAGTTTTTTCAGTAGTATTGTTATCTGTATAAAAATAATCCAGCGTTGCTCTTGTGAAAGGAAAGTCATTTTTTTAATGTTATAAGGAAACTGTGTTACAACGATAGTGTTCTAGATTCATTGAGAATTGAGCCTTTTTTTATTTACTGAAAGCCTCGTTGAACTTTATTAAACGTTACATTAGTACAAATTACTTCCCCTATCTCTGTTAAAAACTTAAACTAACTTTACTCAAGATACTAGTTTGAAAATT